GCCAGCTATTGCAGCAAAACCGCTAAACAACGACATCCAGTTCACAATGCAGCAAAAAAATAAAAGATTTTCCGAGAAAATCAGGAAATTCCAAGAAAATCTATGCGAAACTGTGAATGCCACAAAACTGTGATAGAGATAACCGGTACATCCCAGTGCATGGAATACAAGTGCTCTTCCACTACAAAATGCATGATCAGATTCTACTTTCCCTTAGTAAAGCAACCCGAAATACTCAGTGAGGCGCCAAATATTTTTGTGCTATGAGTCTAGGATCATTAGAAATTATTAATGATTGACTTTTTTTTCTCCGCACACCTCTCCTGTGAGTGATGGCTGTTTCGGAAGAGTTTAAGAGAATCAACTAGGTAAGCAGGACTAAGCGGAACGACCATGCAAGTGATAAAGAAAATGTGGTACGTGTAACAATTCTTTTCGGAAAAACAAAAAAAGCAAGGGGACGACATCAGAACTACCAAACAGACAAATCACCGGTGACATTTTCAGTCCTAGCAACCACGGAAATAATGTCACCTGCGTCGACAACATGAAGAGAAGCTACGGTGAAATGACAGCTGTTCTGTTTCACTAATGCAAAAAATGCTCTACCAGTAAAACATTAATTCAACGTTCACCAAGCGAACTTGAATGACCGACGTAAAAGGACCACGTGTATTTGAAATGCATGCATACGCCATTTTACGAGATTGCTGCTGAGGGAAATTCTGACAACTAAAAAGATTTCAAAACTTCCATTATTTGCACTTAGCGACAAATCCGGAACTCAGCCTCCGGTGTTTCGGCTTTTTCACTAAGAGCAACAAAAATAGAAGTTTTGAAATGAAATGCCCGCTAAAAAAACCTAAAATTTTCAGTAGTTTAAGAAATTTCAAAAAATCACTGAAATTAGGTACAATTACACACCGCCACAATAATGCTCGTAATTAACAGGTGATCGGGAAAGTTGATGGCTTGCTTGCATCGATGCTGCTGTCCACAGATCTGCATTTATGGGTGTCGGCCACATACCATTCATTGCCCCCGGGAACTGAAAGTCGTTGATGGATGGGAGAAGTTCCGCATCCGCCTGTGAATGATTCGGATCATCGGGTGTTGCCTGCTGCTGGGTCAGGTTGCTCGATCCATACTGATTGGAACTGGTGGAAGGATAGTAGGGCTGTGAGCAAACGGGGGTGCATGCATTGATCACCTGCGTGGTTATGGGCACCGACGTGGTCGCCGTTTCGGAGTCGACGGTTGTTGCAGCGCTTCCATAGCCGCTGCTTGAACCACTCGACATTGAACGCAGCTCATCCTGAAATCGAGCTTTTTCCCGCACAAGCTAATCGCAACAGATTAGCAGTGGAGGCATATGCCTTATGATTAGCAATCCAGGCATTCGTTAAACTAGAGTGAGCTGCAGACCTCGCACAAGACGAACGGATATATTTCGAAGTTAGATTCGCTTCAGGGGGAAATTACCTGATCAACGGCAACAACTGGGTTATTCGGGATCGCGATTGGTGACTGTCCTGTTGAAGACTGGTAGTAAGCGGAGAGTTGCTGCCGATGTTGCTGCTGCTGCTG